ATCAGTAGTCAGGTCATCCTGGGCAAGGCTGCATTGGCCTCTGAGTACTTGGTTGACTGAGCACAATGAAATGAATTCCAGGGAACCAATGCCCTAACTGGTCTTCTCAAGCAAAAGGCTCGTGGGCTTTGTTCTCAAATGAAAATTTTACATTTTGGCACCCTTGAGCCTTCAAAAAGTAGGGTCTTGTTGATTCCTGAGATGCCCTCAAGGCATCTTTCTTCTTGTCCTTGTACAAGGTACTTGATTTCTTTCTTTTTTCTTTTTTTGTTTCTGTTTTTGCTTTTGAAACAGGGCCTTACAAGTACATGCCACCATGCCTGATATTTTGGTTTCTATTTAATGGTGCTAATTTCTTCAGTATTCAACTCTCCTTTGGCCATAATTTTAAATATGCTTCTTGTTTGACTAATTTTCAAAGATTTTAGCTTTGGATTTTTTGTTCTTCATTTTCACTATAAATCTGGCTAAATATAGGCAGTAGTGCCCATGCCACAGATTATAAGCTGTAATTCCTTCTTCCTGGTTAATTAGTGTACCACCTTTAAACTCAGCTTCACACAGTGTTTAAAGCATGGACAAAATAATAGACTTTTTTTTATCAGAATGAAAAGCACATGGCGTATAGTTTAATTTCAATAGATTCCTCATTCCCATCTGAATCTTCATAAGCCTGGCCTTTATTGTTCACATTCTTATCAGCATTCTGGTCTTCCAAGCTCTGACCAGAATTGCCCACTAATCTCTGTTCATAGCACTCTACAGCATCTCTCACCAGAATCTCAAAAGCTTTCCAAATTGTTCACACAAACCAGTTCCAAAGACTTCTGAACTACATGGCCAAATATAGTCACAGCAACAATTGTACTTCTCTGATACCAATATTCTACATGGTTAGCTTTCCCATCCCTTGGACAAAATATCTGAAATAAGCAATTTAAAGAGGACTCGTTTATTTTGTTAATAATCTCAGTGGTTTAAGTACATGACTGGCTAGCTCCAAGATACTTTGAACTTTTGCTACGGATAGTGGAGAAGAAGGAAAGGGTTGTGCAGATTATGCTAATATGCTTGATGGTGAAAATGTACACTAGGGAGAGTTTTTGAACCTCTTAATACAAATGAGATTTCAGCAAGGCAGAAAGTTTTGGAACCACCAGCATTGGGCAGATTTTACATGAAAAGCAGCTATTTTTGCTAAGGTGTTTAACATTTTAATTCTTCTCTTTAATGATTAAAAAATCACAGATTTTAGTATAAAATTATTTTTAAATATAGAAAAAGATTTGCAGTAGCCCATAGTCCATGACAGCTCAGGAGTTACTGCTGAAACAAAGCTTTGAGACTGCAGTGGGCACTCAGAAAGAGTTTTTTAATTGCATTGGCAATCTGAGTGCCAGAGCCAGAATAGAAGCAGCTCAAAGTTCAGAAAGAACTGGTACAAAAACCGATCACTTCCTTGCATAATATCAAAAAAAAATAAACATAAGTCATTGAATGCAGAAAACACTGCTAAAGTTTGGCAGAAAGTGAATTTTTTTGAATGTTTTAAAGAAATCAAAATTTCCTGAAGGTGAAATAAAAATTTGAAGAGATTTATTCATTAAAGTCAGTGGTTTCATTATCATTGACCTCTCTGAAGTTGTTGGATTCCCATTCCAAATTTATTATTGGAAGCAAATAGTTCAGAGGACTAAGGGATCTACCTAGCTGTTTTCTCAAAAGGCTTTTCCAGATCTTCTGAAATTCTACAAATGAAAAAATAATAAGTTCATACATACAGGTTCATAAATAAATAGCCATCTTACTCATATGCATCTCCTGGAGTTGGAAGGGGAAGCTGCTGAAACTATGGATAAAATGTGTTAGTTATGGATTCTGATGCTTCTTCCATGCCCAGTATTACTTGCACTATCTACAGAATGAAGGTAAAATCTCATTGTAAATCTTACATTGATTTAAGAACCTATAAGGATCAAACATACTCAGAGATTGCCTGAGTGCTTACAAATGGAAGTGGGTGTGAACTCAGGACTTGCTGGCTTGTCTATTGGAGTTTTTGTAAGTTCTATCCTTCACCAGAAATGTTAACTGTGTGGTAATGTAAATCCAATGAGACAATGAATACCAAATATTCTCACTTTACAGTTTTCCCAGAATCTCTTTCTATAACAATCTGTGTTGCTTTGGCAAAGGCATTTGCTCTTCTCACTACTTTTTCAAGAATTAAATGATACAGAGGGTAGATAATTTTTCAGGTTGACTGATTAAACACAAAACCTTAATCTACTGAAAAAAATCTACTTGTTATCCATGTACAGATATAACCATAATGCATATACATGCATTATCTATAATATATATGTACATATATATGTATATGTTTTTAGAATTATCCAAAATGCTGTATCCCTCAATTATATTAAAGGTTTGCCTTAACTATGCTGCTTTATACAGATTCAGCCAAAGCTTAAATTTTGATGCAAAATATGTATAAGCATTTATTCATACTTTTATTTTGTTTTCCCTTATTTGTATATATTATTCTATTTTCAGATTGGACAAAATAAAGTATATTGAGTTGTCAGCCTAACTGAAGTCTATGTTCTCTACCAAAAACCAGTCAAGTAGATGCTGGAATGATATCTTCTGGTGTTCCTGGTGGGAAGGGTGGTGGAATGGGGTGTGGAACTTCTATAATTTATTTTAGAACATGATATCAAAGGGTTAAGGGTGCATTATTATCACTTTAACTTTGAGTATATGTGTTTTTTGTCAGTTTGAGCCACAACTTTAACATTATTAAAATGTGGCTTCTGTATGTACTTCATTAAGAGCTAAGCAATTAAATTTGCATTTTTGATGCACCATAATTGTAATAGTGTGACATTGTTCTGATGATAATAACCATTGATCATTCATAATGCAGCCACATTCACCATGGATCAAGTATGAATCAACACCTCTTCTTATTTTACATGCAGTAAAGCACTTTATTTTCAGATTGATAATCTGCACTCATAGTTTAATCTTCAATTGTCAGAACTTTTTGGTTTCATTTCCATCTACTTTCTTATCACAGAGCTTTATATCCTTATGAAACAGTATTTTAGAAATAAATTGAGTACCATGGCTATGATAGAACAAGGAGAGCTTGCAGCATTACTGATTTGAAGTCTATTTAAGGAGAGAATTAAAAAAAATTATCATTCAGGCATAGGACAGACTGCAGATCAGAAAGGGTTTTATTCAAAAAACAAATGTGTATGGTCACAAACAGACACCTTTAATTTTTCTCCATACCTGTGAGATTCTTTGTGTGCCAACCCACTCTCTGAATTCCAGAATTTATTGAGATACATTATAAGTTAGCCAGATACCTTTCTGGTATAAAAATATGATGATCACAGTGATTTTATACTGTGTCAACTTCTCAATCTTACAATTCTGTTTTCCAGAATTTTTTCCTCTTATGGTTTTGGGTTGGGGGGTGGACATGAGAAATTTAGGTAAGATTCAGAAGGAAGATGAAAAGCAGCAATTGCTGTGGTCTGGAGGGTGACAGGTACCCCTGAAAGTTCACTCTTGTCCCTGATCTAGTCCTCGTCCAATGGCCTCACCTTTCTGAGCTCCTTCACCTTCTCCAAGTTCCAGCCCAGGCATGTGTGCAGCTCACTGGTGAAGGCACCAGCTTCTGTAAAACACTACATCCTTGAAAGTGGGTATTACTCTGTCCTTCTGGGCTCCAGTTCGACTCCACTCTCCTTTGCTTCAAGTTCACGTTTTCTTCCTGCTGCCAACTGTGCTGAGCTCCAGACACGTCGGGCCAGTCACCAGGTGCAACATGAGCTTTTCACAGGCTTCTTTATCGCCCTCCACAGAGCACACTTTTTAATCCCAGTAATAAATGCCTTTATCCATATAACTCCCAGCTGTTCTGCTTCCCTCATCAAACCATTGCCAATGCAATAATAAAGACTGGGTTTTAGGCTAGCAATTTTCTTTCAGTTGGTAACTAGGGGAGGGACAAGAGGTGTGCATTCTTCATGACATCGGGGCATGTGTTGACATGCTTCCGTGGCTGGAACAGAGAAGCCTTAATCTTATTATATGCATACATGTGTCCTTTTTAAAATGCAGAACACAGCCTCGCACCATCCCAGGAATTCACAGAAATGAAGCCACAGGACCACGGTCCATTAGGGACAGTCTACTGTCCTGCTACCGCTCATCTATAGCCTGTTCTAATCTAAATCCCAAGCGTGCATACATTTCTGTCCTATAGCAATGGATGCTCTCCTTTCCCCAAACCAGTAAGTGAGCAGAGAAAATTCTTGAACTTGGGCAAATGACAGAGCTTTATCTCTTCTCTGAAAGTTCTTTCTTTTTATGTCCTCTTTTTATTTCTGGTTCTTCCATTTCTGAGGAACTATCTTGAGAAAATATTTATTTTTAATCTCTTCTAAAGACTGGCTTTCCTCATTTACTTTGTTCACTCATTAAATTTGACCCTCCTATGCCAATTTTGTTTTGATTTTATGTTAAATATTATTGAAAGAAAGAAAAGGGTTGTGGTAGTAGGGAGAAGACGTAACAGTATTTCAAGAGAGTTCTACACAAACATCTCATTCTTATGGATTTATTAATCTAGACAACAAGTCAGATGATGGTATATGCTTAAGAATCTGTCCATGGGGTGGAAAGTGGGCAGCAATCAGTGGGATAGGATGGAAGTTAGGAGGGTTTTATCCAGTCCACTAGGACTAAAGCCAGAGGAGCCCACTCAATTGCAGCTAATGAAGGAAAGCTGAGGCAGGTGGCCAGACAGTAGTATCTTCCAAGTTCAGAGCCAGAGGACTCGACAGTCTTGGAAAGAGTGATCAGATCTTCCCAAACACAGGAAGACCGAGTATCAAATACATGAGTCTACAGTGGAGAGGAAATATAAAGATTTTGATGATGATGTTTATTGTGCACTCATAATTCATTTAGTCACTTACAGGCAGTGAGTCACACAGGAACCCTGAGAGATGTGGGAATCTGGTCATTGAGGCTGTGATCGAAGTTTCTAGAAAAGAAAAGGCAGGGGAAGGAAGGAGGTCAACAAGAGCAATCCAAGACCCAATCACAGAGGGACAGTTACCTACATATTTAAAGTTAATTGAGTGGACTGGGCTGTGCAACAGAGGTGCAGTGACTCCCTAAACTGCATTTCTGACAGTAACACTTATGCATTAGTCATAGTCTCATAAAAATAGCTCGGTAGGCAAATATTTGTTGTTATTTATTTTCTATGGAACTATTAAGAGCACATTTGCCTGCTAACGTTCATTTCCAAAGGTTCTTTTTCCCTTACACAGCTGGTTTAATGGTGCATCCTGTAGGAAATGCTGAAATCATTAAAAAATTACCATCCTTGATTTCAAAGACGTCGCACCCTATTGACATCCGATAGTGAGAACAGTGATTAGTGCAGGTAAAGAGAACCCAAGGTTAACAGATGCGGAAAGGAAGAGAAGAAAATGTTGAAGTCCCGTGCACTCCAGGAGCTCCCTCCTCCCCTGTACTTCCCTGTAGCTGGGGAGTGGAGGGCTGAGCACATCACTGTTTGGGCTCCGGCTAGCTCTCTTGTCTCTAGCTAGGACCATCAGGGAAGGACCCCAGCAGGACCTGAGGCCTGAAGACTGAGAGACTGGGGTATTATTTCTGCCTCCATCTCCCCTCCCTGTGTCCCTGGGGGTGAGGATCTTGGCAGCTGCTGATTTCTTCTGCTGACAGCCACAGATCCTACCCAGCAGCTACTCCTGCAGGCCTGGATTTCTCTCTCTCTGTTCGATAGCAGGCATCCTTCCATCCCTTCAGGCCCAGGCATGATAACAACTTCCACTTGCTGTTGTTCCTCTGTGTTTCACCATCTGCTTTTCATTTCTTACCCTTGCCCACACCTCTGTGTAAAGCACCTTAATTAAATCATTTTTAATTGACCTCTGAGTACATAATATATATTGTGACAAGAAACCAAATATGCATTGAGCATCCATTATGACCCATTATGTCCCAAATCCTTTAATATACATTATTTTGTTTGGTTATCACAAATGCCCTACAGAATGTGAATTATTAGCTTCATAAAAATAAGAGGGAATTAGCACTCAGAGATTTAGTAACTTATTTGAAGTCAGACTACCAAAATTAGTAAATCTGGGACTGGAGCCCAGCTGTTCAAGCTCCACATACTTTTTATCGTATCATATTATTAAGGAAAAAGGACCAATTATTGGAAATAGGTCAAAAGATCAGAATCGGGCTGGTAAGGAATTTTGCTTAATAAAGAGCCAATTAAATAATAAAGTGATTTGGTGCCAGACTGAGAAAAGAAGTGGATTAAGTGTGAAGAGCAGACAGCCAAGGCAGGGCATAGAGACATGATAGCATTTTCCAGAACTGTGTCCTCTTTCCCAGTTCTGTCACACTGATGAAGAAGACACCAGTACACACTATACGCACAGCATCACAAAGTTGCACACCCTGCTGTCACAACGGAGGCCTGAGCTGTCAGAGGTGTGTGTATCTGGGGAAGTGTCTTAACTGTTCATTTTTCCTTACTCTTAATAAACAAGATTAAGGACAACAGCAGCAATACTTGTGCCCTTTTGGGGTGGGGAAGCTATGGTTTCATTGTTGTTTCCTCTAATGTTAGAGAAACTTATGTCCCTAAACTTATGACATTGTTATCCATATTCATTTCAATAACTCGAGTCTAACAGAAATGTGTTAAAGCTGATGGATGATAAAAAGATAATAAAATATTTCCTGTATTATTAACGTATTTCTTAGATAATAAAAATCCCTTAGTGCTCTGACCCACTATGAAACCTTGGAGAATTTGAGAAAACAAAATAAAGCAGGTGCCCATGCACCTGTTGGCAAAGAAAATGTGAAGTTATCAGACAAAGGAAATGCAGCAACAAAGCACAAAAACATCGACAATCATTTGCAAGAATTTTCAAGTGACAGAAATTTCCAAAGCCCATAATGTATTTTTTTGTAGCTAAACCTAGCATGCAGTTTTTTTTTGTATAGCTAAACTTACCATATAGTTTTCCTAAAAAAAGACTGGCCAGTATATGAAGGGTTAAAGCGAGATAAGCAAAAATACAGGGCTTTACAATAGTGGTTAATATATATAAACAAATTTAGTCCAAGTGCTGTGCATTTATTGAGCACTCTAAAAAAACCTAGGGGTATAATTCAGTGGTGGAGGGCATGCTTAGTATGGTTGACAGCCTAGATTCTATCTGCAACACCAAAACACAAGCAAACAAAAATACTCAACAGTATGACTGTGAATAAAGACTTTATCAACCTAAGCAGTGTCTTCTGCTAATTCTCCTATGGCATATTTTTTTCCATGTGATATGCTATGTTCCCCTCAATTTTACTGCTAGCTCATTTGTGAACAGGAATGAATCTCATAGTGGTGATAAAGTGGAGTTTTTTTTTAACACAAAGGGAAGGTCTTTTTTTTTTTTTTTTTGCCTGCAGGGCTGGTTTCACAAAGATCAAAGATTTTTGATTAAAATACATAAAAAGTGTAGCTGTGATTTTTTTTTGGTGTGAATCTGGATTTTTGTAATGAAAGCCAGCAGGTAGAATGAGGATGTTAAGGCAAAGAAATGCAATATTTCTGAAATCTGTGTAAGATCTTTCTGACTCCAGGTATTATGATTAATTTTCTCTGGGAGGCAGCCAGTCCTGACATGCTGCCATTTAGAGATGTTCTTTTGATGGGGGAATATCTGGCAATGCCAGTCTGAATAGCTGCAAGTAATGATGGCTACATCCTTTCCAAACTGGGATTGTTTGAAGAATCAAGAGAATCTGTAAGCTATGTGGGATCCAGAGTAGAATTTTGTTGTTGCTCTTATTTTTCTAGCTTATGCAAATTTTGGATGCTACACTCATTTGCTACCAGTTATTAAACAGCAACGTATCAAGAAAAGAATGCATAGTGTCAGAGGATATGTCTTTTAGTGAAATAAATTTTTAAAACTTTAAACATTCATCTTTTTTTGGATTACCCTATGTAAGTTCTAAAGTGAGCACACACTCTACAACACAAAGGACAAGACCACGGAACATTCCCTTAGAACTCATGTGAAAGCAACTTTTACCATGAGTGGATGGAGGCTTTCATCAGTTGTTTCCTGTATTATTTCGAGAGTCCCATGTTTTTTGTCTTTTCAAATCTAATTATGTGGTGCTTTATGCTGTTTGATTATCAAATGTTAAAATAATCTTATAATCCAGGGCTATATCTCACTTGGTCATGTATTATTGCTTTTATCGATTCTGTGATTTTTTACTTTTATTATGTTAAGGATTTTTTTGCTTATGTTATTAATGATAAAGCAGTTTTTATGGCTTACCATTCCTGTGTCTGATTTTGCAATCAAGGTAATATGGGTCTCCTACACCATATTAGAGAAATCTCTGCTGTTTTCTTTTCTAGAATTGGTATTGTTTGTTCTTTAAATGTTGAGAGGAGTTCATCAGAAAGTAATTCTTGTGGAAACACTTCTAACTACATATTAATTATCTTAAGTAGGTAGAGGCTATCTAGGGCATCTGGTTTTCTTTAAGAAACTTAGATAATTTATGTCTTTTAAGGAATTTTTCCATTTCATTTAAGTTGCTGAAATTGTGAGCATGAAAATTCAGTTATATCCCATTACTATCCTTTTGGTTTGTAAGTTCTTTAATGATACTCTTCTATCTTTCTTGATACTGATTATTCAGGTCTTTTAGTTTCCTAATCTGTCCTGGTGTGCTTTTAGTTACATGGATGGATACTCTTTCTCTTTTTCCCTATTTCATTGATTTCAGTTCTTATTGTTACTTTTTCCTTCCTCAAGACTTGTCTATTCTTAGTTTTCTATTTTATTGTTATAGAAACTTAGATTAGTAATATGAGATACTCTTATTTTCTAATATAACCATTGTCTAGTAGTATTGACTTTCATCTATTATTTTAGCTCAGCCTACCATACATTGATAGGTTATATTTTGATTTTCATTGCATTCCAAATAATAGATAAATTCTGCTGTGATTTAAAAAAATTCAACACATGAGTTTCTTACAATTTTTTTTTTTTTTTTGGTTACTGGAGATCGAACTTGGGACCTTGCACTTATGAGGCAGGCGCTGGAACCACTGAGCTAAATCCCCAGCCCACAATTGTGATGTGCTTATGTTGATTGTCAACTATTTAAACATTTTCTAAATTTTTTTGCTGTGATCAATTTCTAGTTCACCTCTGTCATAATTAGGGAGCTATCTTATGTGTAGGATTATAGTCTTAAAAATTGCTCAGACTTGTGTTTTGGCCCAGAATATTGTCACTCTTGGTGATTTTCCATCTGTATGTAAAAAGAATTTGAATTCTGCTATTGTTGTATAGGGTGTTCTATAAACATCAATATGTAAAATTGGTTGATAATGTGAGTTGAGTCTTCAACATCTCTGCTAATTTTCTGTTTCTTTGTTCTATAAATTATCAAAAAGGGTGTTGAAGTCTCCATCTGTAATTGCAATTTGTCTTTTCTCTTTTTAGTCATGTTGGCCTTTTGTTCTCTGCATGATGAAGCTCTGTTATTAGATGCATACAGATTTAGAAATTATCTGTGACTTCCTGATGAATTAGTGCTGTTACTATTATGTGACAACCTCTGAGTGCCTGGTAATGTTTCTTTCTTTGGAATCTACTTTCTCTGAATTTAATAAAGTTATTCTAAGTGACTTTAATTAATTTTTCATATTAAGTTTTCAAACTTTGTACCTTTGTCTTTAAAAGATATTATTTTGTTCATTGCATGTACTGTAATTTGGTCTTGTTTTTATTTTTATCCAATTTGATATTTTCCATATTTTAATCAGAAGAGTTCAGTCGTTTACCTTTAATGTATTTACTGATAAGTCTACCACATTACTTGTTTTACATTTGTTCCATCTATTCTCTGCTCCTTTGCTTTCCTTTTTTGAGTAGAATATTTTTAATTATTCCATTT